ACAAGAGTGATATGAGGTTGGGGCACCTGGGTGGCTCAGTGGGTTAAAGCCTCTGCCTTCGGCTCAGGTCATGATCCCTGTGATGGAGCCCCGAGTTGGGCCCTCTGCTCAGCGGGGAGCCTGCTTCCTCCTTTCTCTCTCTACCTGCCTCTCCACCTACTTGATTGAGATCTCTGTCTGTTAAATAAATAAATAAATACATACATACATAAAATCTTTTTAAAAAAAAGAGTGATATAAGGGACAGTTCATATGAGAATTTCACAGAAGGTTAGATAGCTGGCTGAAAGGTGTTAAGTATCATATTATTTTAAGGTAGTTGTGAATGTGAGTGCCCTGACAGGATGGGTACAAAGATGGTGAAAGAGGATTCCAGAACAAGCTCTTCTGTAGTCTTACTGAAGCAGCAGTAGAAGGTATAGCTGTAAGGTATTGGTGGGGGGAGGCATCTTCAGGCTGCTAGATCTAATTTTTGGCTGTAGTAACTTAGAGGTCAGTGATAGCCCCCATGCTTTTGGGTAAGTACTCTGAGGATATTCCCTTCCCTTCCCTTCCCTTCCCTTCCCTACAAAAAGGAAAAGGGTAGCTGATAATTTGGGTGTCCCAGGGCAGATGGATTTATTAAGCTTTCCTGCAGGGTCTTGAAGACCAAACCATCTTGGTTATCCCAAACAACAGGTTATATGTGGAATACAGGGGCTGAACCATTAAGGAGAAATTTGGGATCCAAGTACAATAACCAGCCAGCCCAAGAAAACCCTGTTAAGTAACATTTGGTTTTAGGGTTTGAAAAGTTCAAAATGCCTGGAAGCTTATCAGGATCTAGGTGTAGTCCCTGTGCTGAGATTAAATGTCCTAAATAGGGGTGCCTGGGTGGCTCAGTCATTAAGTGTCTGCCTTTGGCTCAGGTGATGATCCCAGGGTCCTGGGATCAAGCCCTCCATTGGGCTCCCTGCTCACAGGAAGCCTGCCTCTTCCCTCTACTACTACCCCCTGCTTGTGCTCTCTCTTGCTCTCTCTCAAATAAATAAATAAAATCTTAATAAATAAAAAAATATAAATGAATGAATGAATGCATGTCCTAAATATTGAACTTTGGTTTGGATAAATTGCAATTTTTCTTTGGAGACTCTATGCCCCTTAAAAGCTAAGATTTTAATGGGTAAACACTCTTTTTGTGAGAAGCCTTGGGAGGGTAAGCAAAGAAGCAAATCAGCCACATATTGCAGTAACAGAGCCTCCAGACAATTTTTTTGTCATTTAGGTCAACCTTTAAAACTTGTTGAGAAGCCTCTCAGTAAATCCCTGAGGCACAACTGTCTGTTATTGTCCTTCCCAGGTAAAGGCAAAAAGATACTATCCTTATCAAAAAGGATCTTAAGAAAATCCACTCTATTAGTCAGCCAGAGTAAAATAATTGCTTTCAGTTGGCACAGATACCAATAGCATGTGGGGATTAAGGATGACTGGATAATAGCAAGAAATTAAGTTGTTATTTATTACTCTAGATCTTGGACAAATCTATTCTCAGCCATTGGATTTTTTATGTACAAAATAGGGTATTAGAAGGACTAGTACAAGAGATAAGGAGTCCTTGAGCCTTATAGTCCTCTATATAAGTCTTATGTCTTGTAGGGTTTATTTATAGGGTGCTGTTTTTTGTTTTTTGTTTTCCCTTGGGAGAGTTTTTTGAGGGGTCAATCTAGATCTTAATGGGAGGGGCACTATGAATTCTGTCTACATCTGTTGAGGATCTTGCCCGGAGTTGAGGTTACTAGGTTTAATAGTGGGAATGAATACAAAGTTTAGACATCCTTGGTTTGTAGAGTACAAGTAAAGACAAAGGGGATTGAATTTTCCTAAGTGTTAGATTCAAACTCAAGGGTTAGTTCCCTTTTTGGGACCCCTGGGAGACTCAGTCAGTTAAGCATCTGCTTTTGGCTCAGGTCATGATCGTAGGGTTCTGGGATCAAGCCCTGCATTGGGCTTCCCGCTCAGTGGGGAGCCTGTTTCTCCCTCTCCCTCTGCCTACTGCTCCCCCTATTTGTGCTGTCAAATAAAAAAACAAAATAAAATTTAAAAATCCTCTTTAAAAAAAAGGGGTTATAAATAAACTGAGGGTTGCTGGGGGGTGGGGGGGTAGGGATAGGGTGGCTGGATTATGGACATTGGGGAGGGTATGTGCTATGGTGAGCGCTGTCAAATGTATAAGCCTAATGATTCACAGACCTGTACCCCTGGGGCAAATACATTATATGTTAATAAAATAAAATAATATTAGAAAAAGGGTTATTTCCCTTTTGACAGAAAAAAAAGGCAACATTAGATTTCTCCAGGAAATTTTATTCGAAGAAATATATGGGAACTAAATAAATTATATGTTAATTAAATTAAATTAAATATAAAAATATATAAACAAAAATATATAAAAATATAAAAATTAAAAATTAAAAATATTTTTAAAAGGTCATTTCCTTTTGACAGAAAAAATGGCAACATTAGATTTCTCCAGGAAATTTTATTCTAAGAAATACATGGGAAATAAATCATTGAGGACAAATGAGTAGCTCACTTGCAAAGGTCTGACAAAAATATATGGGCTGAGAAATGGGCACATGTTGTGGTTTTTTGAAGACCCACACCCACCCCACTATTTGAATATATGTATTACTTAGATGAAGAGACTCTTTAACTGTAGGGGGGTTGAGCACTGATAGTGTAGCTCCTACATCAATTTCTAGCAATCCATTTCTAATAGCCAGGAGTTTTGCAATCATGATATAGTCCAGTAAGATGGATTTGGATTTCCCATCTGTTAAAGGTAAATATTCAAAATCTTAGTTATCTTTTTTCTGGTGTCATGTTTCTATGGTGCAAGCTAACAGAGTATCCAAACTGACAAAGTCAGGGGTGCACATTGTCTCCCATTTTATATGGGTTCTTTCGACCAACAGGGATAAGTCTCTGTTTAGGCCATTTATGAACATGGAATTATAAGCTGCCTGAGCAGCAGGTGCCTCAGTGGCAGGTGGCTCAGTGAAGCCTCCAACTTGGATTCTGCTCAGGTCATGATTTCAGGGTCATGAGATCAAGCCCCAGGTCGGGCTCCTGCTCCAAGCTATGTTTGCTTGAGATTCTGTCTCTCCCTCCCCCTCTCCCTCCTCCTTCTCACATGTGGGTAGGCACTCTCTCTCTCCCTCCTATAATAAATAAATCAATCTTTAAAAAAAATAAATAAAAGCCACCCGAGTGGATTCAGTATCTATGGAAAGTCCAGAATTTTTAAAAATGACTTGGAGTCTGCTTTATTAGTCATAGACAGATTTAGTAGGCTTTTGAACATATGCTTGAATTTTGCTCTGGTTTAAGGTTTAAGGAAGGCCCTAGGGATGGCTTCATGTAGCCTTTGACCATACCACAAACTTGATCATATAAAAGGGCAGTGATTGGTTTAATTTAAATCTTATAGATTGTTGGAGGACCTGGGTGGCTCAGTGGGTTAAGCATATGCCTCTGGCTCAGGTCATGATGCCAGAGTTGTGGGATCGAGGCCTGCCTTGGGCTCCCTGTTCAGTGGGGAGTCTGCTTTTCCCCTCTCACTCTGCCTGCCACTCCCCCTGCTTGTGTTCTCTGCCAAAGAAGTACATTTTAAAAATCTTAAAAAAAAAAAAAAAAAAAAAAATGGCAAGCACCCCCCCCAAAGCCTGGAACTTGAGATTTCCCCAAACTGTTTGTTTGTTTGTTGTTGCTGTTTAAGATTTTACTTATTTATTTGACAGAGAGAGAGGGGGAACCCCACTCTCTTGTGGCATTTGATCCCAGGACCCTGAGATCATGACTTGAGCCGAAGGCAGAGGCTTAACCCACTGAGCCACCCAGGGGCCCCTCCAAACAGGAGATCTATTGTTGAGCATGACCTTCTCTGACAAGCAGGTAGGCTAACTGATAAGAGATGGAAGGGCAGGTTGGTAAGTTAGAGTTACAATACTGAATTCCTCTGCAAATACATGGAGATTCCCATTTACCTTGGGAAAAATCTAAATTATAGTCCTAACTTTGGCCTTTGTCAATGGGATGTAGGAAATCTGGGGTAGTTTAGAAGGATCCTCCGGTTTAATTTTGAAAGGGAAGGTTTTAATGGGATCAGTGGATGGGGTTTCAATAATAGGAAAGAAAAGAAGTTCAGAGAGAGGAGAAATGTTAAGAGAGGTAAAGGGAAATATAGGGAGGTAGAGTAGTAGGGCTAGGGAAGACCTTGGTTACCCCAAGGAAGAGGTCCCTGGTATTTTTTTATATGTTAGTTGTTTATTTTCTTCAGTCAATTTAGAAACAGTATTTTGTAAAGAGGCAATTTTAGAATCCTAAACACATTTAGAAGCTTCCAGACAGCAATTAAAATAACTATCCCATTTGGATTGTTCGATAGTACAGCCATGGTCTTCTAACTTAGAGAAAAATAAGTATGGGGAAATCAAAGTTTCCACATAATGGTCACTGGACTTCTAGGTTATCCTTAGTAAGACTAGTTTACTTAGTCAAACGTGTATGAGGAAGGACTGTAATTTTAAAAGATTTTATTTATTTATCTGAGAGAGAGAGAACATGCATGGGGCGTGCAGAGGAAGAAGCAGACTCCCTGCCAAGGGGGAAGCCCGATGCAGGGCCCAATCCCAGGACCCTGAGATCATGACCTAAGCCCAAGGCAGGTGCTCAACCAACTGAGCCAACCAGGAGCCCCAGGACTGTAATTTTTTAACATAAAACCAGCCAGTGTTCCTGAAGGGGGAGGGCCACCCTAAGAAAATTCTGATAACCGGGATCCCATTATCAGAAATAAGAGTACATACCAGAAGGACAATCTGTCCTTATCCAGATCCCAAATAAAGTCAGAGCTCCACCAAAGGAGGGAACTCAAGACCTAAGAGGAAATTTGCCAAACTGAAAAATTACCTTATTTGCAGAAACGAAGAGTGCAAAGGGCTCAAGTGCAGGAAACTCACTTATTTCTGGACGTTGATATTCCTTGGTGGTCACCTCCTTCAGATCCCACTTTTGATACCATGTAATGTCTATCTAAGAGAAAAGAGATAAACTAAGACAACCTCGAGTTACCAAAAATCAAGTTTATTGAGCAATAGTTGATGAATTACAGCTTGGGATAGGCCAACTGCAGCAAGCTATAGGAGAGTCTGCTGAAGGTTCAGCTTGGTTTGCTTTTATGGGCAAGGAGCACAAAAGGAGAAAATCCAGCTAGGAGCCAAGCAGCAAGCATGAAGATGAGAGAGATTCTTGGTGGATGCTCGTCAATCAGAAGATAAAGTTCAATCCTCTATAAATCAAGCATTTATGAGAAATCAGTCTCAGTCTTTAAGTTTCATTTTTCTGAGGGCACATGTATGAGGTTCTCCACTTCACATCCTTTGGTTCCATTTTATATTAAAATCTTTCCACTGTTTTATCCATCTCAAGACTGAAGGACATGTGGGGATGCCAGAAGCTGGATATACAGCAGATATTTGGATACATTAGTCTACAGCTCAGGGGGAATGTATACAATTGGCTCATCAGATTACAGGTAGCAGGCAGTAGTTAAAAACTAGGAAAGTGGATAAACCTACTGAAGGGAAATTATACAGAATGATATAAAACAGCAAGCCAAAAATGGAATCCTAGAATAATACCACTGTTCAAAAAATGGGCAGAATAAGAATGAACTATGAGAGACAAAAGAAAAAAAGAACTAGAAGAATTTCAGAAAAGTGGCCAGACAACAGCTTATGTTAAATGATCATTAATATATAGATTTTTATATCACATGCATTGCTTCATTTAACCCTACCAGTGACCCTAAAAGATAATCTTTTTATTATTGCTTTTTAGATTAGGCAACAGAAGCTTACAGAAATAGGTCTTGCATGGTAGTTAAAAGAATGGATATATGCTCAGGTTCAAATTCTGGTGTCACTAGCTATGTCTTTCAGCTTCCTATTTTTCAAACAGGGGTAACAGTTGCAACATCAGAGGGTTGTTAAAAGAAGTAATTTAATTACTACATGGTAAGTGCTCAAAATGATGCCTGGTACAAAAGAACAGTAAGTGCCAATACAAGGAATTTCGAAGAAATGCAATGGTGTCAAATGATAAATCTGTAGAATAAACTATTAGGTATAAATTCTATTATCTATCTATATACGTGTGTGTGTGTGTATATATATATATGTATATATATGTATATATTCACATATACATATATGTATACATATATACATAATCACTCATACACACACACACACAGATTATGTATATATACGTATACATGCATATGCACATACCCATGCTGTTAATCATGGTAAGTGAGATTTAGAATGTATACACGCAAGAGCATGCACACACAAGGTGGGAGGGAGGGGAGACAGACTAGATATATCTAAAGTGAATTCACAGTATGAATTATTCCTCAAAAAAGTCACCAAACAGAAAGATGTAAAAAAAAAAAAAAAGAAAGATGCTTTAACATATTAATAATTCTTTAAATTTCCACTGTTAACCAGTGTTACCCCGATACTGGATATCTTGCAATCACATCAACATATCTCACACAATCAGGCAATATTTTATAAGAATTTATAAATTGATAGTTAAAGATACTTTCCTTTACATTCTAAAGTAGATTCACTGTTTAATACTCCAAATTGGGTGAATGTCCAAAAGGGATCTGTTGAAATTGAAATCAAAATGGCAAAACCTTTGAACATAAATATTTATAGCTTTATACTTGTGTAAAGATACAGTAGAACAGACAAGTTCTCTTAACTACTTTGTGCCATATCATGGGAAGATCAGAATCTAGTTAAATTCTAAATTCATTTCCTCTCTTCTGAACACAGTAAAAGATCCTGATAATAGAGAAATAACCAACAAAAGGAATAATTCTTGAACCATCCTGCAAAAGCCGGATATTAAGAGAAAAAAAATTCACACTTACTTTATAGATCTGACGTGAAGGATAAAAAGGATTGGAAATAAAGTACTGTCGACTGTAAGTTTACTAAACACATGAAAATGTTTAGCTTAGTATTGAAAAATACTTGCCTTCCTTGCCCTTGGAATTAACTACTACTGCCATCTAGCAAGAGGTCCAAAAATTAGAGAATGGAATAAAAAAAATCATTCAGGGCTTACCTACAAAGTCTAAACAGACAGATGCTTTAACTGATTAGTAATTATTGAAATTTTTGCTGCTAACCATGATAACCAAAATTGAATTTCTCATACTTGTTCTTTCCTCTCTTCCCCATGCAACATAAATTATCACCTCTACGTGAACTCCTAGTTTTTACCGTCAAACCTGATCTCTCTTCAAAATTTCAACCTCGTATTTCTAACGTCTGTCTAGACCACTATCCCTGAACATGCTACCAAAACTTCAAATTCAATATACCCAAAATATAACTCAAGTACCTGTATTCTTCTCCATAATCTTCTTAGTCATCTGGGCTCAACATCTCAGAATCATCTTTGATTAAAGAAAGTCAAAGGACAAGATGCAACTAGCCAATAAACCCTACCTTGTAAATCATCCCACACATTTATCTCATCACTGTCCGCCCCACCATTATCCTCCTCAAGCAGTCCATTACCTCTCATCTGCCAACTGCAATGGTTTCCTGTACAGCCCTGACACAGAACAGGGCAGGAAATACTTGATTTAACATCTAATTCCTGGAAAAAGATGGGAAGAATAGGACAAATTCTTACTTCATATAAAAAGTTTTGATCTTAGAAATCAATTTCATGTTGTAAAAAGTACTGACATTCAGTGTGACATGAAGTGGAAAATAAAAGCAGATATGTGATTTCACAAACATTTAAGGACATAAAACTACTTAAATTTTTTTTAAAGATTTTTATTTATTTATTTGACAGAGAGAGATCACAAGTAGGCAGAGAGGCAGGCAGAGAGAGAGGAAGGGAAGCAGGCTCCCCGCTGAGCAGAGAGCCCGATGCGGGGCTCCATCCCAGGACCCCGGGATCATGACCTGAGCCGAAGGCAGAATATTAACCCACTGAGCCACCCAGGCGCCCCAACTACTTAATTCTTATAAAGCATCATACACGTTCCCTTGTTTGTGCATGGGCTGCAGTTGTTCAAACATGTGAATCACACACTATATTTTATAGCAACCCCAGACATAGCAATATTTTAATGGGTGAAATATTTTTCCCACGATAAAACTGTAAAAAAGATTGCTAATCTTTCCAAGAATCCTATATTGTCTTCTTGAGTTATCTAGATCCTACCCATGCTTCAAGATCGAGATCAAACTCTACCAGTACTATAAAATGGTTCTTAACCTGGCCTAAAGCAAGTTTTTACTTAGTCTGAATGCCAAAATATATTCTGTTATTTATATAGCAGTAATCATATAATAAATATATTGAAGCATTATTTTTCTTGAGTTATATTTCACATATTTATATTTGTTTCTCTCTACTATTGAGTATACATTTCTTAAAAGACAAGAGCCATGTTTTCCAATTCTCTTAATATCAATCCTCTACCAGCCTGAGGCTACCTCTATAGCCTACCTCACAAAATCCTCCTTCCTGGAGAGGAGTATAAAAACACAAACATACACAAAACACACTCCAAAGAGGAAAACAAAGAGGCAAAGATAAGGAACTACACAAAATGTAAAACAATGATAAGGATAGGAAACACACACATATACACACACACACACACACACACACACCCCCAAAGCCATAGACACAGCCATCCCTTTTCCGGAGAAAGCAAAGAAATAAAGAAAAAGAAATAAGAAATCAAGCAGTATCAATATTGACATCCATGACATCCATAAACACAGCTTTTAGATCAATTCACTTTAAACACTATAGTCATATAAAACACCATGAAGGCAGAACTGAGGAAGCTAAGAAAGGGTTAGGATTTGGGAGCCTCACTTTCTTACCACCTTACACAGTACCTTATAGGCAGAAAGCATTCGATGAACACCTACTGGTGGGAACATGATTTAATAGACAGTACTACATACCCAAATTCCAGAATTAAACAATTTGTTCAAAATGCTATTCCTTCACAAAATACATTATAGGATCAAGTTACCTCAAATTTCCGGAGTAATGCAGCAAATATTATGTGCTTTATATGATATAAATAAGGTTTTGATGCCAAAAAAGGATACATACACATTTTAATCATTCAAGAGTTTCAAAAATAACCCAATGATTCATAAATTGTATTCTTCCTATTTTTAGAATGGCTCAGAGGATTTATGTGATTCTCAAATTCCATTCTCAATTCCTAAGAAAAAGTTCAATTTGATTTTACAATTTCAGGGGGAAAAAAGAGGGGACAATTTGGAGATAAAGTAGCTTTATAAAAATAATTCAGCGCCATGTAAAATATAAATTAATAATAGGCTAATGAGATCACAAGTTAAAAAAAACTAATCTTTATGAAAAACTTAGCTTCAGTATCTATTCTTTCTTCCTTTCTTAAAAAATAGATGCCTGTCATGCATGCTAACAACTTAAAAGCCCAAGTAATACAGGGCTGCAGAATTTATGAAGAGAAATACTCTGATAGGATGAAAACCAAGATGAGGGACGTCTGGGTGGCTCAGTTGGTTAAGTTACTGCTTTTAGCTCAGGTATGAGCCCCATGTCGGGCTCCTTGCTCAGCAGGGAGCCTGCTTCTTCCCTGCCTGACGTGCCCTGTGCTTGCTCTGTGTGTGTCTCTCTTTCTCCCTCGCTCTCTCTGTCATATAAAGTCTTTAAAAAAGAAAACCAAGATGAAAATACTTGGACAAGCAGCCAAGAATTGGAAACACAATGGGAAATAAAGGAACATGTATTTGGGGTGGACTCGGTCAGTATGAGTAAGCTAAAGATCTGCACTAGAAGCAGGCGTACCTTTTTTCACATGACCTTCTGTTAATCATTGAATCTGATCTGAATCTTGGTTTTCTCATATTTCCATTTGTTCTACTTACTGGCTCTTTTTTTTTTTTTTTTTTTTTTTTTTTTTTTTTTTGACAGAGAGAGAGTATAAGCAGGAAGAGCAACAGGCAGAGGGAGAGGGAGAAGCAGGCTCTCCACGAGCAGGGAGCCTGATGTGGGACTCAATCCCAGGACCCTGGAATCATGAGCCGAAAACAGCCACCCAGGCACCCCATTACTGGCTCTTTTGTATCCATCAATGATATTAATAGTAACTAAGATAGACTGAACTCTTGCTGTATGCAAGTTACTGTTCTAAATGCTTTATATGCATTGTATCTCATTTAGAGCTCTGGATGACCCTAGAGAGTACCTTATTTATCTGGTTCTAGAAGAAAGTGAGGCTTACAAAAGGCAGGTGATTTGCCAAAGATCACTTGGCTCACAGTGCATAACAGGGACAGGAAAAGAAATCTGATTTTATTTACTTATTTATTTAAAAGATTTTATTTATTTATTTGACAAAGAAAGAGGGAACACAAGCAGGGGGAAGTGGGAGAGGGAGATGCAGGCTCTCCACTGAGCAGGGAGCCCAGTGCGGGGCTTGATCCCAGGATTCTGGGATCATGACCAGAGCCTAAGGCAGACGCTTAACTGACTGAATCACCCAAGTGCCCCTAGAGCCCACACTCTTGATGCTTTCTTACACTGACCCTCAAATGATATAAAAGATGTATTTTACAAAGCATTTTTAAATGGTCATTCAAATGTAAAGTTGTCATAATTCTCATCTGCATTAAATGAGATGAATCAATAACACTCATACAATCAAGCAACATGGTTAAAAATTTAAAGCACATACATGTGGAAAGTCTTCATACCAGCAAAGATTTTAATATCAAAACCAATACCATATGATATGAAGCCCAGCATAATTTTTAGTTGCCTGGACATGCAAATTCCAAGTATTTACAAGGTTAAAAAAAGATTTAAAATAGTATCAGCTGTAAGATATGGTAAATTTAAAAATATAAGCCATAACCTAGAGCTTTTTCTCTTTGTGTTCCATATTCATATTCATCATTGATTAATAATATTGAATAAAATCAGAGAAAGAAATTTATTTTTAAGATTTACTTAGAGTGAGAGAGAGCACATACAAGCATGAGCAGGAGGCACAGAGGCAGAGGGAATCTCAAGTAGATTCTGCCGTTGAGCACAGAGCTCAGAGGCAGGGCTCTATCTCCAGATCCCGAGTCTGAAGCTTAACCAACTGCACAACGCAGTGCCTCAAAGAAAGGAATTTATTTATTTTTTAAATTGTTTTATTATTATTTTTAGTAATATAGAATGTATTATTTGCCCCAGGGGTACAGGTTTGTGAATCATCAGTATTACACGCTTCACAGCCCTCACCATAGCACACACCCTCCCCAAGGTCCATAACCCAACCACCCTCTCCCTCCCCCCCCCCCCCAAGCCTCAGTTTGTTTGTGAGATTAAGAGTCTCTTATGGTTTGTCTCCCTCCTGAGCCCATCTTGTTTCATTTTTTTTCTTCCCTACCCCCCAAATCCCCCACTGTGCCTCTCAAATTCCTCATATCAGGGAGATCATATGATAATTGTCTTTCTCTGATTGACTTATTTTGCTCAGCATAATACCCTCTAGTTCCATCCAAGTCATTGCAAATGGCAAGATTTCATTTCTTTGATGGCTGCATAGTATTCCATTATATATATATAGACCACATCTTTATCCATACATCTGTTGATGGACATCTAGGTTCTTTCCATAGTTTGGCTATTGCGGACATTGCTGCTATAAACAAGGAATTTATTTAATAGTATTTGTCAGGCACTGTTTTAAGCACTTCACAAATATTTACTCATTTAACTCTTATAACAGCTATGAAGTACTTGTAATTATCCCGTTTCATAGATGGGACAACTGAAGCACAGAATGGTTACATGTAAACAGCCCAAGATCACAGAGCTAGTAATTGCAGACAGTATTCAATTCAGGCAATTTGATTTAAAAATCTGTGCTCTTAACCACTAGCTCTGCTACAATTTACAGAACAGTGAAATTCTTTTTTGGTGGGGGTTAAGATTTTATTTATTTGCTTGTCAGAGAGAGAGAAAGCGAGCGCACAAGCAGAGGGGATAGCAGGCAGAGGGAGAAGCAGGCTCCCTGATGAGCAAGGAGCCCATTATGGGACTCCATCCAAGGACGCTGGGATCATGACCTGAACTGAAGGCAGACACTTAACCATTTGAGCCACCCAGGCATCCCATGAAATTATTTTTTTAAAAGCCAATAAGAAATAATGATCACAATGAATGGCCACAAAGAGAACAGAGCTATCACTTATCTCAGTATAGATATCGACACTAAGGAACATGTAAAAGAAATATTTTAACTGACATGATAAACAAAGTAACCTACATTATCAGGAAAAGTTTTAATTATAATGGCACACTAAGCTTATTAGTCTTTGGAAAAAGTTTCTTTTAATTTTCCTATGAAACTATATGGTTAGTAAAGCAATGACATTTGGAGACTAATATTAACATTAAAAGATTTACTAGACAGGATTTTTATCATTGTTTGATCTAGCTGCTTTATGAAGAGGAAAAAAACTATGCTAGAGCTTTAAAAAAAAAAAAATCACCGGAACTGGTAGAATTCATAACAGAATTAATGCTAAATATGATCCCTTTAAAAAATACAACATATAGGGGCACCTGGGTGGCTT